GTTTTGGGATGGTAAATATCCTGTATTAGGAATAAACATTGTATTTAGCGAGCCTTGGCTTGTTAAATACATAGTGATTGATATTTCTCCAGATTCCCGATGGTTAATTCTGACTTGATCGCCGAATGACAAGGGCGATGCCATGTTTGTTTATAAACAGTGAAAGTAGTCCCAACTTGACCTTTGATATTTGCATCTCTATCCGCATATGACCCCAACGGATATCGTTTTTATCCATTGGCTTTATTCTGCTGAGAAACCTACCCATTATATGATAATACAGTATAAAATCTCTTAAAATTAGAAATATTGACCCATTACATTCAGATTCTGTCCACAAGTTTGAAATGTTATTTACTATCATCAGCTGAAAGAAAATCTAAAGATTCCATTTACTGTAGATTTTACAGGTGTTCTCCCTTTTTCTGGTCGAGGCCATATAAGTAATAATATATACTGAACAACAAAAGTTCCTGTGACATTAAATAAGATTTAATGCAAAGTTATGTTTTTTACCAAATCTGAAACAATTTCTGTTTGCAACAGATAAAAGACTCCTGTAAATGTTCAAATGGTTTAATTTGTCATACTAAATGTTTCTGAATCAGCTCCAAGTCATATGGTCTATGGCGAATGTGGTAGATACCCGTTATATATTTGTTCATATTTACGTTTACTCAGATACTGGCTCAAAATAACAGAGATGTCGCGGGAACGAATCCCAAGAAAATGCTACGAAATGCTTGTCTATCGTGATAGTGTTGGTTACGTAACCTGGGCATCAAACATTAAGCATTTACTCTTCTCTCACGGATTTGGATATGTTTGGCTAAATCAAAGCGTTGGAGACAAAATGTATTTTCTTAGCTCTTTTAAGCAGGTAGCAATTGATATGTTTACTCAAAACTGGAGGTCAACACTAGATAACAGTACACGCTACGACGTCTATAAAACCTATAAATATTGTCTAACACCAGAGGTTTACCTGCATACTATAACAGAGAGAAAAATTAGAGACACATTTATTAAACTCAGGCTAGGGTTAAATGATTTGATGTGCAACAGGGGTCGCTTCTCCTCTATTCCTAAGGATATGCGTTTTTTTCCATTCTGCGAAAACCATATTGAAAACGAATTACACTTTTTGTTTATATGTCCAATTTACGACAACCTAAGATTGAAATATATGCCTGATATCACTAAGAACCACTATTCCATGAACAAAATATTATCTTTTAATGGTATCCCTAGTAAAAAATTAACTAAGATATTACAATACATCTATCAAAGTCTACGAGTGCGTAGTAAATTACTTAGTAAATCCGATATGTCCAGAAATAATTAGTTGTTTTGAAACTTTCGCATCTAGATCAGGAGTATCTACATTTCATTTTTGTCTGTTTGCTTCTACTAGAAATGCATATACATTTAAATTGTCAAATTGTCATGACATGATGAGTATATTACTGATAGATCCTTTTGTATTGAACGTCGTGCTATGGCTGAAAGCCTTTGCGATGTAAAACTTCATATTTCCATTCCATTCCTTTTGTATTTTATACTACTACTGCTGCCACTGTGGTTATTGCCACTGTTATTACAATACCTCTATTACATGTCAAGCATCATATTAGTTATCCAATAATTATATAATGCGCTGTACAGCTGTAAATGATATTGTTTATCTGTATGTGTATATGGGCCAATGGCCTTTCATACAATAAAGATTGATTTATTGACTTCAGAAAATGCGTGATTTAAAAAAAAACATGAACATGCCAAAATGTCAATTTACAAATCAATGGTGTGTGTGTCCACCTCTGGCTGCAATGCAAGCAACACGTCTTCGTCTCATGGAAGAGACCAGGCGTCACACAAAGTCCTGTGGGATATCTGTCCATATCTGCTGGAGCATGTTTGAAGTTCCTGCTGTGTCTGTGGAACACGTGGTTGACGTCGAAGGCGCCGATCCATCTCATCCCATATGTGCTCGATTGGTGAGAGATCAGGGGAGTGAGCCGGCCAGGGGATGACAATTACGTTGGTTTGTTGAAGAGAATCCTGAACAAGTCGAACAATATGAGACCAGGCATTGTCATGTTGAAAGGTAATGCCTGGGCCATGACGACGACAAAACGGTAGAACAACAGGGCCAGTGATCTCGTCGCGGTAGCGCTGTCCATTGAGATTTCCCTCTACCACTATCAAACAGGTCCTCTGTCTTGCTGTAATCCCACCCCATACCATAATGCTGCTGCCCCCGAACCAATCTTCTTCCATAACACAACGATTGAAGTAACATTCACCTTGACGTAGGTACACACGAATCCGTCCATCACTTTGGCTGAGGTGAAAACGAGACTCGTCAGTGAATAGAACTTGTCCCCACTGCATGGCCGTCCAGCGTAGACGCTGTCTACACCAGTGTAGACATGCTTGACGGTGGTTTCCTGTCAAAATGGGACGTCTGGCGGGTCTTCCGGCGACAATCCCTGCACATCTGAGATGGTGAGGTACGGTTTGTGAAGATATTCGTCAAAGGCCAGGGATGCTTCTTGCAGTCACTGTTGCTGGTTGGAATCGATATCGTAGGTGTATTGTTCAAATCAAGTTGTCTTGTCGATTATTGGTTACGCATGGCCTGCCACTCCGAGGATGGTCTCTGACTGCTTTCGTCTGTTGCCAATGTTGCCATAAACACCAAATTGCTCACAGGGCCTCATTTTCGGACAAGCGTGGCATTTCGTAATGTGGAATAATTGCGTAATTTTGTTGTTTTTCTGAGTAGTTGTTGTCAGCACGATGCTAAACAATGCACATGGAATCCAGTTAACGCACATGTTTTTATACCCATTCTTGGGTAGTGAAATGCATGGGGCTTGCATAAAAGTCAACTTTTGCATCAAATGCATGCTTTTCTGTAGCAGTTGCGCTTTTGTGACTAGATTCCATACATATACTACAATATTGACAACCAAACTTTACTTGTTTGAAAAATACACTAAAATATTGGTGTCACAGGAACTTTTGTTGTTGAGTATAGTACCTGGCAAATGAAACGAGAACAAAGAAGTACTGCTTATTACCATAGTTAATGTAGAGATCTACTTGAATGTTGAGGTAAAATGTACATATTGATAATCTATGTCAGGCAGAATAGTTTCTTTTTGTCTTTGCTTCAGGAGTTCAGACATGGTGCACAAAGTATTAGTAAGAATTAGTCTTCAGGCGAATCATATGTCCTGTGATGAAAATATGAGGGCTATATTGAATTTTACTTATCGCGTACATGACGACGTTAGGAGGGGTTACTTTGATCAGAAACATTATTCTTCAAGGTCAAATTGTTGGTTCTAAAACTCGCTCCAAGAGAGCATTGCTACCTTTAATTGGTGAATTCTCACACAATTTATTTGGTGCCGCCCTGACAGCGACATGAACATAATACGACAACATATCAATATCTTATCAAACAGAATGAGAGCTGAAGAAGCAGCTTTTAATGTGTCACAGGATTACATGGGTTTGTACATATCTAAGGCTAATGACAGAATGGATGGTTTGAAGCAAGGTATAATTCAAATAATTCCAGTAAAGTAAAATTATTTTTTTCTGCTACAACATTAACAATATGAGCTTATGACCTTGCTTAAATTTACACTGAGGTTCTCACACCCTTCATAGAGATAGTTCCTCCTTGGAATTCAAGTATCAACAATCTCCTGAGCAGTAAGAGATCTGAACAGACAACTAGTCAGTAGTAATTAGGGAATCATCTTGTGACATGTTTATGGCTAGTGTGTCAGGTAAGTGCTAGCAGTAGCTATAATGTTAATAAAGCGGTGTTAAACCCAACTCACTTAAAAATTAGAAATATTGACCCATTGCATTCAGATTCTGCTCACAAGCTAGAAATGTGCTTTGCTATCAGCAGCCAAGAGAAAATCTTAAGATTCCATTAATTGTAGATTTTAAAGGCGTTATCCCATTTACCTGCTGTTTTACTGTGTATGAGAAGAAATATGTCCAACTCTCATAACTCTTGCAAAATTGCATAACACAAACATCCTAGGAACTTGAATTATTACGCTTGTATCCCCACCAATGAGTGGCATAACAACTTTAAAATACATAAATTAGAGAATAATTTTATTTTCATTTGGCTTTTGCTATTTTGTAGGAAACACTGTGTTCAGAAGTGGCCAAGATAGCTATTTAACAGAAAATTTACTCTGTTATTAAACATGTCACCACCTCTCAAAGGTTATGATATGATAGACAATTAAATAATACATTTGGGAGTGATATCATGGTTAGAAATTAAACATGGCAATGGGCAGTAATTACAGATAATAAGCAACACGACCATTTTTATAGGAATTGCATTTTGTCATGATCGATATGCATAAAAAGAAGAAATTGTATTCCGCTTTAGTTCCGCATTACCACTTTTATACACTGCTATATTTAGCTGCAAATGTCGGACATCGAGTCAGTAGCATTGCCATTGGCGCACTTTGCAGAACGGAGTAAAAATACAAAACACAAGAAGTACAGATGATTTTGCTCTTATTGAATGTTTGTCAATCAAACACATAGTTGCATGCCACAAATATAATTCTCTATGGTGTTTATCCCAGTTCTGGTCGCTACAGACGCGCGTCATTCGGTTCGTCTCGGGAATGTTACGGGGAAAGGGCTATAAATAGAATAGGTTTTCCCTATCGGTAATTTCCTTGTCTTGATGAAAAACACATAATCAGGACATTGACTCATATTCGTGCGCTGTATGTTTAAGCATGAGTGGTGGCCTACGTAAAGAGTAGGAAACAAAAAGTAACTTGACAAGTAATATTTGAAAACATTTGAACATTCCTTTACGCATACTGCAGAGTGCAGGTCCAGATTCAACTGGTATTCCAACAAGTAAGATCAGAGACCATTTGTTCTGTGGTAAGGTGACATTTACAAACACTCTCTTTAGATGTTTAGAGCCTTACACTGTTTACCTGTACTGTCATCATTCAAAGTGCACAATATGTTGTGAACGGTCGCTGAAGACTTTAGTGTTGATTTCCAAGGACACACACATCACCAGCAAACAGAGCGACACCTCTGGCGATCAAGAGTTGTCGTTCTTGTGACCGGATCCTTGCCGGATGTATATTCAACAAGTAGAGACTGCTGCAGTGCATTGTTCCCCGCAATATAATGTCGTATGCAGAGGAATGAAGTGTTAGCAATGGGAAGGGAAGACTGGTGTAAAGTACAAATTGGTTGATATTAATGTAGTTATCTTTGGAAAGCACAATAAAAGCAACACTGTCTTTAAATGGTCAGCACAAAGAAAACCCATACCACAGCTGACGGATACACTTATCTATGTACACATCTTATTAAAAATGAAAAGTTCAAAAGTTGTATTCAGACACTCACGAGGAAAGACACAGATGCTTACCAGAGACTAAAGCATCAGTTTTTCATGATGATATCCCGGTAAGTTAGCAACAATAAAACCCTTATAGAGCCAATAACGTAATATAATTGTGAATTTCGGGGTGTAGGGTGTTTTAGCCTGCACCCGTAGATATTGCAATGTTAAAAAATATTTATATACTTCCAGAAAGACTACAGCTTCAGTTTTGTAAATCATGACTAGGAGTAGGCATGGAAACACGTACCTGGGTCGATCAGGCACAACTTGGTATATACCCACTGTTACTACCAATAATAAGTAAAAATATGATTGAAAGTCTTATATAGATAACGTATCGAATGTCATTCTTAAACTTGGCAGCAAATATCAATCTTTCTGGGCAAAATAATTGTAATGAATCCACTGTAATAAACTTCAGTCCAAGTGTCAAAATATGTTCAAGCATTCGTTAAGGGATTCCCATATATCCAACTGCATGTTAAGAACATACAGTTTGGTCAAGTCATCTATAATTATTGAGAATTATCTTTCATATTGTAAAAAGAAAGCTCCTTGGTCATATTTCTTAAAACTTCGTTTAAGTAATCACAAACTATAGATATACAGCAACACCAACACCAACTGGAACAACGTCTCTGTGTAATACGTGATGTCTTAGAAGATGAGAAACACAATGCACTGTCTTGTATAAAATACACCCAAGAAAGAGAATCACTTTAACAAATAATCCTCAATCATGATAATTTGGCACCCTCTGTTCAAAGGAACAATTCTTAATAATTTTCACCAACAGTTATCCAGAAACAATTTTCAAGATCTGTTATCATATCTACAATTATAAACAAATTACTCGTATGTACAACATTACCATAATTTTGCTCAATTCTCATATTGTTTCCATATCATTATAATACACTTGTTCTAAAACGTTATTGTTTTCATTGTATTTTTGTTTTTTGTAATAGTGTAATATTGCCACTGTTTCTTCATAGAATGTTACGCTATAAATATCTCATCTAAAAAATCTTTGTTGTATGATAGTTTGTTACAGTTGTGTACGGGGGCACGGGTGGCCAAATCGCCTAAGGAGGTGCAGTTCGCTATGCAGAGTTGTGTCCCTTGGTGTTCGAATCCCGGTTCGTCCCGCTTATGTTTCTAGGTTTGTCAGCACCATACCCGTGCTCATGGGTTTCACCAACGTGATGAACGTCTAAGACCTGCATCACTTCGGGTTGTCCTGTCACATCAAGCTGACACGTGATATAACTGCAATACTATTCAAAGCGGCGATAAACCCAACTCACTCATTACTCTTGTGTACGGTTCCGTTTGGTTAACTGGGTTTGTTTTGTGATTACTTCCGGTTTAGATTTCAAGTATGTTCAGAAGAATGTGACTAGGTTCAACCCAAACATCGTGAATATATCATGCAACCCTATTACCTTTTTGGAAAGTAATTGCAAACTACAGACCAACCTGTTGATTTCCTATGTGTCCAGAAACAAAGAACATATACGAATGTATAATCTCTGCCGGAAGCTAAAACAACTGTCAAAGCAATAAACCTTGCAGAACCGTAAACTTCCGCTTGGAACGGTATGAATCATACATTACATACAGTGAATTACTTGAAACAGTACTGTGCTCAACTATGCACAGCAAGCGCCATACATGTGATTATGAAGACAACTAATTACAAAGTTCTCATATCAAAAACGTTGTTTTAAATGTGTTGTTTATTGATCAAAGTCATACTGCATAGAAGCCTTGTATTTTATCGTGTTGAACAATAAGTTGCATTAGCAGTGTGAAGGGAGAAATAGTGTGTGCGCGTTATATGCTTGACCTGAATTCCTCCCTGGAACTTTTCTCGCTAACGCATGGTACATTGCAAAGGTAGTGCGCAATAGAGCTATTCGGGTAAGGTAAATAATCACTCACTCTCCAAACCCGCGGGGGCTTACAGCTTGAATAAGATACGATGTACATCATTGCAAGGTCAGTGCGTGATAAAGCTCTATACTACGCCTATAGCTAAAGTGAGTGAGTGAGTGAGTTAAAATTTAACGTCGCAACGGCATTATTTCAGCCATATAGCGACGCTATAGCTAAAGGAAATAATCAATATATATTACAAAATATATAACTTTAGCGAAAGGAAATATATTTTCCCTAAACATTTTTAGCTCTTTTGAAAACAATATGAACAAATTGCATGGATTATTTACATTACGAAACATGGCTAAGGCGATTGGTTAAAACATGTCCGGATTAAGTCACACTCATTTCATTTTACTCTTAATGTTTTGAGAGACCAGAATGGGGCTCTCCGCCAGTCAAAAACGAACTAACCCTTACACTTCCCCGCCCTACATTCGTTATCTTACTGACGGCTCGGGATTCATAGGTTCACACACAGGGTATACATCACACCATATAGAACCCTCGAAAACGGTTTTGACAAATTATAACATTGGAGACTGAAGTAGTGCGGGGTATATCGGAACGGAGTTGGTCCGTCAGTCCATCTTCCCGTCCATCCGTTCGCTTCTTACAGGGGACAAATTTTCTCCCAAACGATTTAAGTCAGAAAAATGAAATTTTACTCACTGATGTTACTGGTCAAATGAGTTCGAAAATTGATGTCGTAACTCGTGAGAGTTATGGCGCTTGCTCCGTTCTTTTCAACTTTTCACAGTGCATACTGAAGTTGCATGAATGAACGTTTGCATGTTTATCTGATACATACCAGTCAATTTAAGACTGAGATGGTCCCGTAGATTATCTTCTGACAGAGTTACGGCCCTTCATCCATGTTAGTTTACTCAGTGCATAGTGTCTGCACTGGGGACAAGTTTTCTAAGAAACTACTGAAGGTAGCTCATCTGAGAGATACTTATCGAGACTGAGTTATTTTTTTCCAGAGAAAAGGCTCTAATCATTTTTACTGATGACATTATATGACCCAAGTGCCTTTCTCTTCTTAGGGGCGGTTGAGTAGCCCTGCGGTTAAAGCGTTCGCTCGTCACACCGAAGACCCGGGTTCGATTCCCGACATGGGTACAATGTGTGAAGCCCATTTCTGGTGTTCCCGCCGTGATATTGCTGGAATATTGCTAAAAGCCTCGTAAAACCATACTCACTCACTCACCCCTTTCTCTTCTTAAGGCTTCATAGGGCTCTCTATTTTACAGGTTATATTCACTACTTATTTTCACTATGAACAAACAAAATTCTTATTCCCATGGCGGGGGATACTGATAACGATGTTTTCTTGTAGAGTAACACCCCTCGTCGCGAGGATACAATGACACACTACCAACCAAGTCACCAAGCCCTCTAGTTGCCTAACCAAGACCTATTCTAACGTGGAATCCCCACAGGGGATCATGCAATGTAAAGCAAAAACCAGTACAAGATCATGTCTATTAACAAACTCTCATCGGAATGTAATTCCGAAAGTCGGTAATCTTTAAAAAAGGGTATCTTTAGTGTTGAGTGTTGAGTCTATTGTAGGATTCCGACTGTATCATGAGCATGTGTTTATGAATTACTATCAAACAGTAACGATACTAGGTGTTACGATGCGTCCTATCGTTTCATTCCTTAGAACTATCTGCAGAATTGTTTTACTGCAAGATAAGAATGCTAGACTGATTTTGGCAACAAAGTCAATGATCGATCTTACGGTAATAGTGCTCCAATAATCGGTATGAGGGAGATTTTATTTGTCTAGGGCGTAGAGTTCCGATACTCTACCTGCTGTGGCCATGGCAAGGAGAAATGCAGTTTTCCTTGCTATCTAGATTGGTGTAGCTTTGGTCAGAGGTCCAAACGGTTCCTTCTAACACTGTTAGAAGGGCTGAAAGATCAACTGATATATTCCACTTCTGGATGGTCCTGGGTGATCGTACATTTTTTAAAAGAAAACATTGCATGAATCTATTTATAGTAGGATGATCTCCGATATGATATTTCCATCCATGTGTAATACAGAGTGTAGAGTCGATCTGTATCCGTCTATTGTCCCCTGACGGAGCTTGTTATCCTAGCGTAGATGAAATAAATAGCCGGCTGCCATGGGAATAGTTTCAGTTGTATGTCCCAGGCCATGTCGTTGTCTCCACTGTATGAACTTGTTCCAACGGTGGTCGTGAAGGAGGGATTAGATGTCTCCAAGACCTAGCCACAGCGGTAGATACACATTCAGAGAAGCTGACGACCTGCATCTGTTATGAGATAGCTTCCATGCGGTTAGTTGGATGGAGAGATTGTTGTGGAATATGTCCGACCTGGACTTACGTAGAAGATCTCAACGGAGTGGTAAATGGAAAGGATCTTCCATTAGCAGTGGTAACAGTCTGGGAAACCATGATTGGCCAAATAGGAGTCTGTTCTAGTTTCTAAATGAGGATTCTGATGCCTGCTGAACTCTATTCATTCTGGTGGGTTCCCTAAAGGTGGTATCATGTTAGGAATCTCTTGGACGTTGAGGTGGGAATGAAGAGCCATGTGCTTTAACTGGCAAGTTTATGATGGATACTTGTTACACTTCTCTGATGATCTTGTTCAGCTTATCGTTAAAGATCTTAGGAGTAGTGATGGACTGAGACACATCCATTTTCTTGGCATGATCTGAGACGGCTCTAGTACGTATTTGGGATAATAGCTGTTGTCTCTGTGTCCACAGTA